TTTTTTCTTTTTTACTGTTGAATAATATTACTTTATATATGGACATATTACTACTAATCCATTCTCCTGTTGATAAATTTTATGGTTCTAGTTTTTGGCTATTGTGAATAAGGTGGTGAGTATCTTTGTTTAATAAGTCTTTAGTGAACATTTGTTTTTATGTTTCATTTCTTTTAAGTAAATATTCAAGAGTAAATATCCAAAATTATTTGACCACAGACTAGGTATATTTGTGTCTTTGTCAGAAATTATCAGTTTCATCCTAGCACCATATAAAAGTTCTAGTTATTCTTTATCTTCACCAACATTTAGTGTTATCATTCTTTTTTGTTTTAGCCATTCTATTAGGTGTTTAGTAGTATTTTATAATTTTTATGTACATTTTCCTGATAACTAATGAAAAAGTTTGAGCACAGTTCATGTGCACATAGTTTGTTCATCTGTCTTCTTTTGACAAAATCTCTTGTTTTTCCTCCTTGATTTTTTATTACTATGTCTTTTTATCATTGATTTATAAGATTTTGTTATTGTTGAATATTCTAGATGCAAATCTTGTGTTAGATATATATTTAATCAGTTTTTTTTAACCAATCTGCATCTTGTCTATTTTCTTAATTGGTGTTCTTTGCTGAGCAGAAAATTTTAAAATTTTGATGTTCATTTTATCCATTTTTTTTATCATTAGTGTTTGTGCTTTTTGTTTTCTGTCAAAGCAGTCTGCCTACCCGAAGGGGCAAAGATATTCTCATGTATTTCCTTCTAGAAGCTATGTGAAACATTTATGTTTATGACTCATTCATTTTGCATTAATTCTGGTATATGAAATGAGATAGGGGTTGAGGTTAATTTTTTCCAGTTGGCATCCAGTTGTGGTTCAATTCAGTTTATGGAATTGCTTTGGCACCTTTGTTGAAAATCTGTTTCTTCTAGACTCTTATTCTGTTCTAGTGCTTTATTTGGATATATTTACACCAGTACTACAGTCTTGGTTACTCTAGCTTTATAACAAATCTGTAAAGCAGGTAATGTAAGTTCTTCAGCTTTGTTCTATTTCAAGATTCTTTGCCTGTTCTAGATCCTTTGTATTTCCATATATACCACAAATGTATTTACACAGTGTTTGATTTCTTGTAGCTGCCCAAACAAGTTACTACAAACTTGGTGGCTTAAAACAACAGAACTGTATTCTTTCATAATTCTGGGGAGTCTAGAAATCCAAAATCTGTATAACTGGGCCAAAGTCAAGGCTCTAGGAGAGAGTCCATTTCTTGTTTCTTCTAGCTGCGACTGGCTGCCAGCATTCCTTGGCTTCTGGCCTTATCATTCCCAATCTTTAATGCCATTATTTCAAATCCCTCTCTGTGTCTCTGAATGGTCTTCCTATCATCTTCTCCTCTGTGTGTCAAATTTCCTTCTGTCTCTTTCTTATAAGAATACTTGGATTATATTTAGGGCCCACTTTGGTAATTCAGAATAATCTCTATTTAAAGATCTTCAAGTTACATCTTCGAAGATCTTTTTCCTAATAAAGTAACATTGTACGGGTATCAGGGATTAGGACCTGATATCTTTAGGTTATCAGCCTATGACAGAATGTGTTTTCTTTTAGACCTCATTTCATTCTGGAGCTTGCTGTCAAAACGGATTGGATTGAGGCTTTTAGCACCCTAAATGACATATTTATTTACTTGCTAATAATTGCAATTTTTAATTGGACTGTGCATCATGGAATGAAATTCATTGCATTCTAATAGCACAACAGATTAGGCCTCAGATGGTGAGTTGCTTATTTAAAATAGCAGTCAGGAAAACACCAAGTTAGTAAGGAAATTGAATTATGCTTTGACTATCGTAGAGTTGATACATGACTCAATAAAATTTAGTGATAGCTTTTAGTTTTGGGTGGCCACAAACTAATTCTTGATTTTGTAGGGCTTTCCCAGTAAGGCTTGTTACCCAAATCTTCTTCATGCAGTGTTAGAAAAATGGCTCAGCTACAGAACTTTACATAGCAAACTCTGATTTGGTTTGGGGATATTACTTAAATAGTCCAGCTGTAGGGACTGCATAAGACTTCAGTATGGAAATCACTTTTTATGAGCATCATTTGATAAATCATAGCCATAAAAAGATGAAACTGTAAAGCCTTAGTTTCCCTTTCTTTTCTTGTCATTATATTAATTACCTTAAATATTTAAATGTTGATAACCCTTAGATTTGGCATAGGAAGAGAAATAGTTTGCCAAAAGGAAAATGGAAGCCTAATTCTCTTTGTTTGCCTTATAATCTTTCTCTCAGCATGAATGATGTTCTTCTGTGCAACCAGATAACACAATAGCTTTGCTTTGCTAGTAAGGATCATCAGCAGTGTGAAAAGTTCAGCATGAAAACAAACTCACTGTCAGAACCAGTAGTCTACATTATGAATAAAAATTTACATACTTTCTGAATTCTAGATTGAGGATTGAAGTCACTTTACTTCATGTTCCTTGCCACAATTCACTGAATGACTTTGGACTTAATAACTTGTATAATACATGACATTGTACCTGTAAATTTTTCTTCTTCTTTTTTTTTTAAGATTTTATTTATTTATTTATTTATTTATTTATTTATTCATTCATTCATTCATTCATTCATTCATTCATTCCTGAGAGATTCAGAGAAAGAGAGAGGCAGGCTCCATGCAGGGAGCCTGAAATGGGACTCGATCCTGGGTCTTCAGGATCACACCCTGGGCTGAAGGTGGCGCTAAACCGCAGAGCCCACCTGGCCGGCCCTGCACCTGTAAATGTTTCATGTTCTTTCAATGTCTTTTAATGAAAGAATTTAAGTGATTATGCCATTATTAGTTGATGAGTATGTGAGCTAACCATACTAATGTCATAAAATATAAAAATGGTGGGGTTTTTTTTGCCTGTTTTATTAATAAAAACTTTGAAGAAAAAGAACAAGGACTAAAGGGAGAAAACTAGTCTACTAATTTCAAAGGAAATTCCTAAGATAAATATTTTTTAAGATTTTATTTATTTGAGAGAGAGCGAGCATGAGCAGGGGGAGAAGCAGAGGGAGAGGGAGAAGCAGACTCCCTGTTGAGGAGGGAGCCCTACTTGGGCTCCATCTTAGGACCCTGGGATCATGATCTGAGCCAAAGGCAGATGCTTAACCAACTGAGCCACCCTGGTGCCCCCTAAAGTAACTTCTAAAATTAAGATATGTTCTTTAATATATTTTATAAAGCATTCAGAATAATTGCTGGTAGCAAATTCTAGTTGAATAGTATCAAGTAGTTCCTTGTTAACCTGAGTGAAAATATGACATATTTGAATATCTGCTATTGTGATATCCCCACATCATTTAGGTGAAATGTCTCTACATTTAGATAACCTTTCCTCACTTATTTGTTGAAAGACTCGGCAATGCAAATGGAATATTCTTTCAGAACTGATAAATACAAAGAGAAGGAAGAACCATGGAGAATATAGAGGAAAAAGGAGATAATATAAGTGAGGTATCTAATAAGCCACATTCACATTTGAGAATTGATGAATTGGTATAAAGTGTTTTTGTTTTGACCAAATACTTTTAAAAATTACTGCACATTGAAAACATTTAAAAAAGTGTCTTAGATTTGGAAAACATAAGTGAAAGATTTACAATGAATTAACTTACATCCAAATGTTGTGTTGAGTTCTTTAAAGTTTCTTACTAGAGCACGTGGATAACTCAGTTGGTTGAGTGTCTGCTCTTGGTTTTGGCTCAGGTCATGATCTCAGGGTCCTGAGATTGAGCCCCATGGTTGTTCCATGTGGGATGGGAAGTCTGCTTGAGATTCTCTCTCTTCCTCTGCCCTCCCCCGTCACCCATGCTCTCCCTTTGTCTATGAAATAAATAAAACTTTAAAACAAAAAAAAGTTGTTTCTTACCAATCTGCTGTAGAATAACCATTTTTCAATAAAAGTTTGTGTCTGGGAATTTGTAACTTTAAAATCTTCAGGGCTGAGCTGGAAGATGAAAGGTATTTATTTTCAAGTATGATTGTATAATCTGATTTTGTGAGAAAAAGCTAGTAGTTCATTTGTGATGGTATTTACAGCCACACATCTTATATAAGGAAAGCTTCATACTCTACAGTTTGTGTCCTTTCTTTGTCATGTCCTGCTTATCTGCACGTACCTATTTCTGTTTGTGTTAGTCATCCTCTCTAGGTAAATTGTCCATGAGACCAGTGATTCTATCAGCAAATTATCCAGAAAATGCTGTCTTTGCATGTTGTGACAGATCATGTCACTGGTGGATTTATAGCTATCCAGTGGTCTCATTAACCTGGCAGTTGTCTCCTGTGCCCAACACTGTTGTCTTGTTGCCTTGGCATCTTAGTTTTCATCTGCTCATTACCTTTCTTTCTTTCTTTCTTTCTTTCTTTCTTTCTTTCTTTCTTTCTTTCTTTCTTTCTTTCTTTCTTTCTTTTTCTCTTTCTTCTTTTCTTTCTTTTTTTTAAGACTTTATTTATCCATGAGAGAGAGGCAGAGACACAGGCAGAGGGTGAAGCAGGCTCCATGCAGGGAGCCTGACGTGGGACCTGATCCTGGGTCTCCAGGATCACACCCTGGGCCGAAGGTGGCACCAAACCGCTGAGCCACCCTGGCTGCCCTCATTACCTTATTTCTTAACTAAAACTTAGATTTACGAGTGTTGGGGATCCCTGGGTGGCGCAGCGGTTTGGCGCCTGCCTTTGGCCCAGGGCGCGATCCTGAGACCCGGGATCGAATCCCATGTCAGGCTCCTGGTGCATGGAGCCTGCTTCTGCTTCTCCCTCTGCCTGTGTCTCTGCTTCTCTCTCTCTCTCTCTCTCTCTCTCTCTCTCTCTCTCTGTGACTATCATAAATAAATAAATAAAAAAATTAAAAAAAAAAAAAAAGATTTACGAGTGTTGGTTGTTTTTTACCTACCCCCATCAACCCCCTCTATTCACCATCCCCTTTATTTTTGATTGGCAGTATCATCCAGATAAACAAAGTGCAGATGTGCCAGCAGGAACAGTGGAGAAATGTATACAGAAGTTCATCGAAATTGATCAGGCATGGAAAATTCTAGGGAATGAAGAGACAAAAAAAGAGTATGACCTGCAGCGGCATGGTGGGTACTTGTGGTGAGGAGCCACAGCACACTGGCAACTCTTTGAAGCTTTCCTGGGGAGCATATTCCAGCACTTGTACCAAGTTATTATTGCTTTCCTTACTCCTCCCTTCCATCACTGTTTTTAATTATGTCCTACTCTTAGTCGTGATTATTGTGTGTCCATTGAGAAGTTAACAAAGCTAGTAGGATGTGGCTTCTTAGGAAGCCCTGAAAACTACTTTTTCTAACTAATGAAAAATGTTTAATTACACATTTCTAATGTGTTTAATAACTTATTTTTTAATTTAATTATGTGCTGATTAAAATTTTAATTGTACTTTTAACAATGTGTACTATATAAATGGCAGTCAAAAGAAGGGTTCTCTCTGGGATAACATCAGAAAGCACTCTGCTGTCTTTGCACTTGTTTTAGGCTAGGTTTCATGATTGTCTCCTGAATAAAGTATTCTTTAGAAGATTGCTATAAATGGTATTTTAGGAATGCACCTTTCCTAAGCAGTTTTAAAAGTCATTTCTTTTATGCATTTTAGAAAATAGCTTCTTAAAACAGTGACAAGCTCTGGTGAGAAAGAAAGGGAGAAATGTAGGTCAGGTTTGTCACACATAGACTGCAGTTACACGAAGTGATAGGCTGTCTTTCAGCACTGGCCTTGGGATAGGAGTCCCTTAGTCTTGTATGTGAACCTTCAATATGCACCCTGCATGCTAATGGGGGGGAGTCAATAATCAGTTACAGCCTGTGGGGAAAACACTCAATTGCACTCTGCAGTAGCACACCAGGTTCAACATTGACTCAAATGTGTTGATAAAAGTTCACTATCTCTGTAGTTGATTATTGAATCCCCTCCCGTGCCCTACACTGGCACATCATCAAACCTAACAATGATTTTAAGGTTCCTACTACTAAGGTTATGAAAATTTGATTTGAGAAACAAGGCTTACTTCTAAAGCACAGCATTGTAGGATAAAACCAATGATATATATGGAATTTCCATATTTTCAGAGGGGACTATACTGGTGGTATTATAGGCAGTATGTGATACCTTTGTGTATAAAGATTTCATGATTTATTTGTTTATACAATGGAGAATTTAATAGTGACTTTCATCATACTAATCAGCTCTAAGGCCATTCTAGGTTTTTTTTAAGACTGATGAACTTTTTAAAAATTTTAAACTGATGAGTGTAAATTCACTTTGCGGTGAATTTAGTTAATTTTCAAATATGGCTTGAATATTGGGTCTTATCTGTTCGGTGCATATATAAGTATCCTGCAAATTTTTTATTTCTTTTTGTAAATCTGTTTTATTTATTTATTTTATTTTATTTTTTAAAGATTTTATTTATTTATTCATGAGAGAGACAGAGAGAGAGAGAGAGATGGGGTGGGGGGCAGAGACACAGGTGGAGGGAGAAGCAGGCTCCATGCAGGGAGCCCAACATGGGACTCTATCCTGGGTCTCCAGGATCAGGCCCTGGACCGAAGGTGGTGCTAAACCGCTGAGCCACCTGGGCCACTCTGTAAATCTGTTTTACTTCTGGCAAAAGAATGTAGAAGTGGTTCCATTTGAGGATGAATTCTATTTATAGGTCATTCTTTTTAACCTTGGTTCTTGTGATAGGATTTCTATGGAAGTACTGAAACTCATATACACGAATGTATCGTGTGTGAGAAGTTACCTATGTGTTTTTGCACATCTTTAGTTACTTTGTGGGTGCCAGTTTGCCGAAGATAAGGATAATCCACAAACCTGTACTCATCGGGTGTAGGGGTATGTACTTGCCCTGTTGCTCTGCATTTTTGCCATTCCACAGCCTGTGTACTATTAAGAATCTGTCAGTAAAACTGACTAGAAGCCCACTATCTAAAGAGAAAGAAATAGGGAGAGATCAGGAATAAAAAAACTAATCTCTCTTCCTAGGGAATAGGGTGTTGGTAGATGAGAAATGGAGAGAAACAGGAAACGGTTAAAAGTGAGCAGTACAGTTGGACAAAGCAAAGTTTCAAAAATGTTGTAAGAACAAATAATATCTTCTCATTGCCTTTGAGAAGTCCTTGGAAATTTAGATTTCTTTTGAGCTTTGAGTCCTTGGTTTTAAGGTTTTAATGGAGGTAACTGCAGCCTACTGGGTCATAGGGGACTCTTGTAGGTCATTGATGAGGCCACAACAACATTTAGACAAACTGAATATAGTGAGAGTTGGGCCTGATTCATGATATGGATAGATCTTCTGCTTGGAATTTAATGTTCGGTTTGCTCTGCAAGTTTTTCAAGCAGGTTCTAGGAGGACAGTAGAAATACAGCTTTTCATGACTTTTCAATATGTCAGATCTAAGTACTAGGTATTTCTTTTATTACCAGCAACTCCAAATGGTGAGAATGCTTTACTTCCATTTTAAATTGAGATTGGATTGCTGTTTAGATAAGAACTGTAGAAGTCAAAAAAAAAAAAAAAAAAGAACTGTAGAAGTCTCTTATCCAAATATAACTGGCTGTTTGGCTGTTTTTAAGCTTTTCATACTAGAGCTATTTTTAAAAATCTCATAATAAACCTAGTTTCATACTGTCATTTCTTTTGAATGCTGACATTAATTTTTCCTTCTTGACCCATCTTCAGTAATTGGCTCCTTAAAAGAAGGAAATGAACTTGAACTTCTAACAGTGAGGATTTAGATTTGATAGAAGGAAAACCTTTGAGAGTGATAATTTGTTAAAGACCAGGATAGGTTACCAAGAGAGAGAGAATTTGTTATAACCAGGTCAAAGCACTCTTTTTTTCTGGGTCACCCCCTGGGGACATGGAAATAGCTTTGTTATACAGAAGTCTTTTTGCATGTGGTGATAGTTCATTGTAGAACTTTCTGTTCATAGGGTGTGCCTTAAATATGTTTGTTTCCTGTCTTCCATTAACTTGGAGTATAAAATAAACCTAAGCTCCGTAATACTTGGGAAGGAGTCAAGAGATGTTTTATTGGCTGGTGTTGAATGCTTTCTTATATTTCAAAGCTCAGAGTTGGTGCTCTGTTGTAAGAAAAGCCTCATCAATATTGCCCACAACCATTTATTTCCCTAAAAGATCATTTAAAGGGGCTCTTGACATCCATATTTCTTTGCTTTACAAAAGATAGGATCCAATGAATTCTAATAAAGTCTAGGGTAAATACCGTAGTAAAGTACATATATTTTTCTTCCTCATTTCCATGTATCTATTCTTAGTTGATAATTTTAGGGCAATGTTGGCCAGGCTAAAGAAAAGCAAATCTAAAAAAAGATGAGTAATATTCAGTTCCCAGATATTATATTATACATTTTGAAAGCAGTGTTAACTAGTGAATTTAATCAATTAGTTCCAGTTGGCATATTTACCTTCTTGTTTCTAAGGATGCTTCCAAAGGCTTGCTTCCCAAGTTCCCTTGAAAGGCATGTAGTTATTCAAGATTAGGCTTTGCATTTCAGACAACCAGAGGAGCACTTTGGAAAATCTTTTTCGGATTTATAAAATGTTTTTATGAATAATATCTGTTGAATAGCTTTTGGTGCCCTTATAAACCTATGGGGAGTTTTCTCATATATTAAGCACATTAAAAAACACTTTAGAAGTATATCATGAGAAGATAATAGGGATCATGATTCAGTTGCTTTGTAATGTGACAGTCACACAGATCTCCGATGTCTGAGTGACTGTATAGAGTGACACAGCTGATGAGTTAGGTTTACTTCTTTGTGACCTGAAGTAAAACAAACCTTCAGGTGAAGTTGGGCAAATGAAATGTTTTAGAAAAATAAGTGGATTGTGTTTGGAATCCTTGGTAGTATATTATTAATGTATCTTGGTTTTCTGTTAGTGAATTATTTTGGTAATGTGTAGTCTTCACCTTATAGTCAGACAAGTCCTTGGATACCCAAAACAGCCTGACTCAGGAGATTGGGCCATTGTAAAGTCAGTGTGTCTTTACTCAAAGCTAATCAGCTACTCTCCCTTAGCTAGATTCAAAAGGTCATTTCTGATGTTATATTATACAATTTACCTTGTCCCTTTTATTAGGATAAATATTTGAGAATGGGAGGTAATCAAATAAATTATGGGCCAAATGGGAACATGTCTTAAAACCCCACCAACATTTTTGTGCCAAAATGCAATTAAGCCCAAAATAAGAATCTTTCGTGAAAAGCAAGTTAATGCTAAAAACTGATTTAATACTTTTAAATGTAGATAATATGAATCTGAATTAATTTAAGAATAATGACTTAAGGCCAATAGATATTTGTGTAGATTATGTACTAAAACTGACCCTTATAAAACACTTGTATTAGTCAGATCAGAGTTTCCATCTATGATCATATCAGTATTTCCATTTGATTTTAGGAATTTGAAAATTGGCTGTAAAAATGTGCTTCAGGTAAAACTTGAAGATAAGCATCAGGGGGCATGTTTTTTTTTGGTGACTGTCTCTGGGAAAAGTAAGTATGTGAAATGATGCAGAAAATCCATCTAGACAGTTAGGGACTGGCATTTTCTTCAGAGGGAGAAGAGAGTATAGAGAAAACTTTTCTGTGAGCGTCCTCCTGCTCCCTCTTCTTTGTCACAAGAAGGTGACTACTCATGTTATCTTTTACTTTTACTTGAATGCAAATAACTTTTTGCAGTGAAAATATATTTTAAGATCTTTTCTCAGTGGTCTTGAATAAAAATTTGGCTGGTTTCAAAGAATGTTACAGAAGCCCATGGGCAAGATCACAGTTATAATTCTGGCATACTTGGCCATAGTTGGGAGTTCTGATTTAATACTAGAGAAGATGGAAGATTTAAGGAAGTCTGTGTCTCCCACTTTAATGTCTCTCCCGGTTTCACTTGGGTACTTGACCCAATTGACATCAGTGAGTCTTAACCCAGAACAGGGTTACCTTTCTCATTGCTTTTTTTCTCTCAGAATTGAAACCTTCATTCCATATTACATTCTGATCACTTCTGCTTTGCTCAGTGTACAACCAGTG